CTCATTTTATTGCATAGAAGAATTTATAGTAATAAAGTGAGCGTCTTTGCATGCCTGTTGGGGACTGGATACCAACCTGTTTACTCTGAGTTTGAGGGATGCCATCTGATTAGGATCCAGATTACTCTGAGTAATCTATTAGGATTGTTTCTGCTATCAGTATATCAGCTTGGTGACAAAGACATCAAGTGTCTTTCACACTTAATGTCAGTGCCTAACTTTTCCAATGGGAGCTGCTGTGGATGTGAACACAGTAAGCCGCAGATATGTGGAATAAAGTGGCGTCTGCCTTAGAATAGAGGTTAGCGCTCGTATTTTAGATTCCACTCGAACCCCTGACCAGAAACACGAGCTCAACGGGGCACTAATTAATGACCTTGTGAAGCCACAACTTAGTAATGGACACCAGGAAACAAACTTTCTTTTATCTGCTCCTCTTAGAGCACAGGATAAGAATGCAAATTACTGCCCTTGCATGTCTGACAATGTCTGTGAAGTGGTGTTGAGCCAGGAGCCTCGGTGACTGCTGCTGTGCTTTAATGAGCTATCTGATGCCACAGGCTTAGAGTGTTGCAGCCTGTGACACAGGTAGAATTGCCACCTAGCACGAGAAGAGCCAGATGAGCAGCGGTGTCACTACCTGCTTCTCTTCTGTGTCCCACAGCTGCATCCTATGACAAGCGAATTGCGCTCTGGGATATTGGGATTCCAGACTGTGACTACAATTTCAAAGCAAGGTAAAGGTTCAAAAACCAGATGTGGCCAGTCCAGGAGCCTATAACTGTCACTTTGCAGCACCACTTAACTATTTGTTCTCTTTTTCTTTTTTTTTTTTTTAGCCAACTGCTGGTGCTGGAAGCGCTCTCCATTCCCTTACGGATTGCCCCGGTCCCCACCTGCCCAGACCAGTACCTGCTGGCGGGCTGCGAAGGTGGCTGCTTTGCCTGGAATATAAAACTGGATAAGGAACAAAAAAGCAGGTGACAACCAAAAGCTGGGGGCATGCCTTTGCTTTTCATAACAAGAAGAGGTAGTCCTAGCAAAGGCTTTATTTCTAATCGAGGAGGTCTGAGCAAGAAAAGTAGCACGTCCTACCAAACTTAAAGTGTGTTCCCCACCCCATAATGGCAAGAAAAAAATTACTAGCATAATGCTAAAGGAGTGTTCAAAGCTAGCAGCCCTGAGCTTGTATTGATGCTCCAGTCTCCAAGCATTGCAGGCTGCTTTGAAGGAGGACTGACGTGAGTGTAATGCAATACCCTAAAACTTAAGGGCGTATCATCTTGAAGTAGTGTAAGGGAGTGTAAATTCTTGGATCACGTTCCAGTCTCACAGCAAGGCCTACCCTGCTTCTGGTACGTGAGGTTACCCAGGAAACTGGCTCTCTGTGGGAGCACAGGAAAAAATTACAAGAAAGAAGGAAGTGACATTCATGCCCTGCTGACATATACTAATCCTGATGCCTACAAAACCAGAGGAAGTAAACCAGCAGTCTCTTAAGCAAGTGGGCTTCTGCTATATTAATAAACCCAGGTGGCCAAAAGCATAAGTTCAAGTGGGAATTCATCCACGTTTGGCAAGAGACTCACTAACACATGAATTTCCTTCTGGGTTCTGTAGCCGAGTGCCCTTCCACTGCTGCCCATTCAGGACTTGACTCATTTCCCCCTTCCCCCTACTCTAGGCCTTTTGAAGCCATATTCCAGTTTCCCGATGAGGATGGAGCCGTGACAACATCTCACAGGGTTGATGGTTTGGCTTTTCTGAATGATGATGTCGTCGGTGAGTATAAACAATAAAAGTCAGGTGCGTCAGCGTGTGGCAGGCTGAAGCCAGCACGATGAGCAGAGGGACTGAGTGGGGTGTGACTACCTCTTCTTTAGATTTTTGGGGGGCTACACAGTCACTTATCTTTCCCTAAAATGGGGGCTAGAGGTGCAAACTCACGTCTGAGCAGGACTGGAAATCAGAGGGCCCCATCCCCGAGAGCACGCTTGGCCCAGCAGTGCCGAAGTGGAAGGGAGGAGAGCTCCTTCCTGCTCAAGGGCTGGTGGCAGCAGTATGGTTTTTTTTGTCAGGGAATTGGGGGTTCCCACATCTGGGAGAGTGCTTAAAACAGGGCCTGGGTCTTTCTGAATAGCTTATGCTTGTTCTACAGTTCAGGAACATAAGCATGGGACTGAAAATCCCTCTGCAGCCTCCAATTATCCTGAAATAAGGTAAAGGAGATGGAAACAGTTGCTGCTGGTATCAGGTCCCACGTCTTAAAAGCCACCTTCTGGATGGACCACCTTCACCAGAGGCATTTCGCTTCTCAGCGACTGACATAGCCTCTCCCCTCTTTCTTGCCTAGTTTCCAAGAGCTCTAAACCAGGATGCATATACTTATGGAGCTGGAGTCGGTCTTTTGAGGCAAAGGGGAAAGGATACCAGCGAACGGTATCTGCAGTTATTCTGGCTGAGCTTGAGTGGTCCACGACAGATCTGTCCTACCTGACGCTCAGCACCTGCCCAGGTAAGCAGCACCCTTCCTCAGGGCAAGCAGCGAGGCTGTACCGGTCGCTGTAACAGAGATGGCCGCACGGGTTGAGGTTCACTTTGAACAGTTGTGTGTGCTTCCCCTTTCACGGAGCCCATAGTCAGGGGCAGAGGCCTGGATTCCAGTCCTCATCAGAGCAAGTGTGTCTGGTCTCCCCTCTTGACTTAATAAGAGCCTGCAGCTCCCTGCACTGCAGCTCTGGTACAGGGCAGCAACAGCCCAGGACCAGCTATATATGAATAATATAAATAATACATAAATGCGGCTGTACCAGCTGTCATACAACAGGGGAACAGCTCAGGCTTACGGTGTTATGCTGCCTGTACAGCGCCAACAGGTCTTTGAAAGGCACAGAGCTGATGGCTTGGCCCTGTGGCTTTTCTGGAGCCATTTAATACTTACTGCAGCTGAGGGAAGGGGCAGGAATTCCACACACAGGGCAGCCGGCTTTAAGACTAACAAGGAATAAACCTGATCTGATTGCCACTTTCCAAAACAAAGAAGTCAGAAGAAATACCAAAACATTTATCATTAGCCTTTCTTAATAGAGTAAAATAGCTGGTTTCTCTATAAATGAATTGAGTTTTTTTTCAGAGCGAGGTAGATTAATACATATGTGTTAGAAAGAGAATTTTGCTGAAAGGTGACATCCTCCACTGGGATCCTACAGCACTGTCTTGAGCTGTGCTCCATAGAGGCATGGACTCTCCCTTCCACACTCATTTTGCAGCTTCTTCTTTTGGTCTTACAGCAAAAGACTACGTGTTCTGTGGTGACGAGATGGGAAGTGTGTGGATGTACAACCTCTCAAACTACACCTCGGCGTGGAGCTCTGCAAAGGGAAAGCGCTCAGACAAGAGGATCCCTCCCACACAGGTAGGTCTCACTTTACCCAGAACACGCCTAGTCTTTTCTCTACCTAACACGCATGAGCAATCTCCAGCCCGTGACCAAGGCCATCTTTCAAATCTCACGCAGACACAAGTGTGACAGGAATTAGGAGGTGTAAAGCATGTCGGTTTGCTCCTGCGTCTTGCAGCTCGGCAGCTTTTCCTAGCAGAAGGGCCCTCGGTAAAAAAGCGGTGGTTAAACTGGAGAGGCTGAGAATCCAGGCGTGCAGACACCATTTCCCCGAGGGGCGGGAAGCCAGAGCGGCTGTTCCCTGGCAGAACTCACACAGGAAAGGGCTCCCTGCTTCCCTGTGCTCATGCCACCGTTTTTTTTCTTTTTTTGCTTGGTATTTCCCTGGCCTCCAGAGAGTCCTCCTTTGGGTAATTACTGTCCCCTTGCATGGTGATGGCTCTGAAAGGAGAATCACACACGCTCAAAGGCTCGCTCCAGAGCCTGGGCTTGAGCTCCCATCAGATACAGGTAGGAGGTGACCTAGTGTTCTGTAACTTTTTGGAAGTGTGTTGCCCAAGTCAACAGTCACTTCCTCCAGGACCCAGGGGCAGCTGCTTTCACTTTGTCCTTTCTGATCAAGTCCCTCTGCATTAAACCCGCTCCTTTAGGCGCAGTATCATAAAGCTGCACCACCTCCCTCAGAAAGGGGAACCTTTTATTCAGCTTCCCCAGGTCCGTAGGGAAGCGGATTCCACAGAGACCCAGTCATCAAACCAGGCCGTGCAGAAATTAATCACCTCCCACTTTCAGAGACAATACCAGCCTGCCTTTCCTACCCAAACTCTTCTCCTCGTAGATTCTCAAGTGGCCAGAGCTTCGAGCGAACGGGGAGCAGCTGAGTGAAGTCCTAATAAACAATGTGGTATCAGACCCTACTTTCACTTACCTTGTTGTCCTAACTAGTGTGAACATAACAGCGATTTGGAAGAAGTCATAGTTCCTTGTAACAGAGTTTCATTCCCGTGCTTTGAAATAGTGCAGTATTAGTGACTGTTACCCATGTAACCATGAAGTTTTCTAGACCAGCTATTATGTGCAAGAAAAAAAAAAAAGGTAAGAGTTTGTTAAACTCATCAAATCATTGTAAACATCCGGTTTCTTTTACTGTAAGTTTTCACAATTTGTGCATTTGTTTTATAGAAATGACACTTAATAAAACAAAACACCAGTTCAGTTGGCAGTGCGTAGACTTTTTGAAAAGGAAAAGCAGAGAGTTCATCTACCGCTGTCGCTCAGCAGCTTCTCATTCTGGAAGCACGCTCACAATAAACTCGCCAACAGCCCAGTACAAATATTTGCGTTAAGACTCCAATTAGAAAAGCAGAAATCATTTTAATGACTTATCTATCAAATCAAACACGACATTTATCTTCTTGGCAAAGTGCCTCTGGTATAAAAAAAAAACAACTCTCAATATCGCTGCTGCTGTCAAAAATTAAGCATAACCGGGACAAGGAGGAAAATATTTGCCATGAATGGAGGTTTAAATAGATATATATTCAACTGACAGACACATCATTCTGCCTCAGAAGTAGTGTCCACTCTAAATGCGGTGATTTTACTCGATTCCTTCTTGTTTGTCTTTAATAGCAACCTGTAAAACACGAACAAAAATACACGCACTAAGACAAGAACTGATACTGAGCTGGAGGAGGTCAGCTTAAACATTCATAACAGTCTTCTGTGAAACACAAGAACCACCGGAAACCATCAGTGGAAATCTCTACACCATCCAGGAAAATAATACTTAAATTAAAATCAAAACGGATTTACAGAAGTGCTGCACTGTTACCAGCACTGTGTAGAGAACACTACACAGACAATAAATATCCTATTCACAATTCCCCTCCAGTTTTGTCTGAACAACCTTTTTCAGGCAGATTTACATCTCAAAAATCAGGGGCTGAATCAATACGATTGCAGAGTTGAGCAGACTCCATGAGGAGTGGTCAAAAAAAAAATACTGTCCCAGAGTTTTGGCAGGAGAAGCAAAACAAAGCAAAACATGTGGAAGAACAGAAAATTGTTTTCTACACTAAGACTGTGAGATAAGCAGTGCTAATGCCGGCCAGCTAGGGAATCACAGAGCACCCACCAAACCCTTGCTGGGCATGGAAATAACCCTTTAGAGCAGCTGGGCTCCACCATCCCTTGACAGGAGCCGAGCAACACGGTGCCACATGGCTTTGATTAATTTACTGACCTAAAATAGCAGCTCTAAGATACACTACTCCTCCCTTTGTTTAACTTTTAATTGCAAGAAGCACAAATACTTTAAAGAAAAAAGAACAAACTTACCCTGAACCTCTCCTCCAGGAGGGAGAGCTCACTGATCAAATCCGTGATGGCATTGGTGAACGCTTCCTGGGGGCTGTAATCGGGGGTGGTTTGGACACGGATGATGATTTTGTGTTCCAGTGGGTGCGGGACTTTGTACCCTGCAAATAACACCTGGGGGTCTTTCAGTAACTGCCTGGAAGGGAAAAACAGCAGTGAACAACCGCACAGCACAAATACAAATAGTTTTTAATAGCACAAAAATAATTTAAAAGCTGTGTTTCTGATGGGCTTTGCCAACATACTTTCAAACTGGGCGCTATGAATGTGTTTGTGGAGGCTGTTCCCTCATTTTTAAAGGCAGAGTTGCTTTGCCCTGACTTGACAACATCGATCACAACGTGACTAAACTTTCTGAAGAGAAAAAAAAAGCCCCAAACCCCTCCAAAATATACTCCCCCCCCCTCCCCCGCCTTAGCTCACGACTTGATGATGTTCCCCAGCGTGTGGTCCTCCTTGTTGATGGTGAACAGGCAGGCGTTGGGCACCTTCGTGTCCTTGTTGATGGTGATCCTGAGGGGATACGGACAACGGGCCGTTACCGCAGCGCCTCAGCGAGCGGCTCCCCCCCGGCTCGACACAGCCCGGGAGGCCGCGGGG